CTCTGATGTCCAGCCTGAAAGTAGAACATTCTGCAGTGAGAGCCGCTCACTCACTGCGCTTGGGACTCATGTCACACCTCTGTCTTGGAAACACAGCTGAAAGCCCCTGCCCTCTCGGGGCATCTAGTGGGCCAATAAAGAGAGGCATAGAAGTAGCTAAGTGAGTACCACTACATAAGTGGCAAGAAGGACCACCAGGGAGCATGTGGAATGGGGTGAGTGGCCACACATCTGTGCTGTCCTTGCAGATGGCCGGGGTCCCCTGCACCATGGCGTCTGCAGCACGTGGCTCAGCCGCTTACAGCCCCAAGACCCAGTGCCCTGCTTTGTGCGGAGGTAAGTGCCCCCTCAGGCTCTGGGGACCACTGGCTCCTTGGAGTTCCGAGGTGAAAGGCAGGGTTCTGAGGTTCGGTGTTCCTGTGGGACCCCTGGCCTATCATGAAGGTGTTGAGTCACCTAGGCTTTCCCTGGCTGCAATGTGTGGCCTGACCTCTAGCAGAGGTGGTGACAGCAGCAGTGATGGGGCTCCGAGTGTAGTGACTTTTTTCAAGGACTCTAGTATGGGGAGGTGGTGCGAGTGACCCAGCCCACAGGACCCAGGTTCATGCTTGAGCCCCCCCATTCTCCTCCATCCCTGCATGTTCACTCCATCCTGTACCCTGTCCCCCAACCTGTGTCCTGTGCCTGCATCTGGCCCCAGGCGCTGAGCAATGGGACCTCTCTCCTGTCCCCCTCAGTGTCAACAGCTTCCAGCTCCCTAAGGACCCCTCCCATCCTTGCATCCTCATCGGGCCCGGCACAGGCATTGCACCATTCCGCAGTTTCTGGCAGCAGCGGCTCCACAACCTGAAACACAAAGGTACAAAGGAGGGGAGATAGTGACGACCCTGGCTTGGTCCTGATGCGTTGTACATAGGGATGAAAATAGCCCACTGGGGGGCCAGGGAGATGGCTCAGTGGAATAAGCACTTCCCTGGCAAGCACAAGGGCCTGAGTTCAATCCCTGGTTCTGAAAAAAAAGAAAAAGAAAAGAAATAGCACACCAGACTCCATAAATACATGCAGCGGTGATGTCTTAAAAGGAAAAAGTAAAATGAAAACAACCACTACCAGAAGCTATGTGTTGGCGTAGAGATGGTACTGAACAAACTGGTCATTGTCTTCAATGCCTCCCAATTTGCACCCTCTGCACTGCAAAAAAAGATAAAGTAGGACAAAAAGAGAGAAAATAAGGACATATAGCCAGGTGGGGTGGTGCACTCTTATAATCCTAGCGCTCAGGAGGCTGAGGCAGGAGGATCACTGCGAGTTTGAGGCCAGCCTGGCTTATGTAGCAAGACCCTGTCTCAGTATATATTGGATGGGAAGAGGGCTTCAAGTGGGCTGGGCATTTCTTTCCTGGGTATAAGAGGAAAAGTCCCCACTTTTGATCAGTAATAAGCCGGATGGACTCCTGTGCCTTCACTTTTAGCAATGTGACTATACAGAAGGGATCTCAATGCCTTGGGCCTCAGTGTTTTAGTCTCTTCATCTATGAAATGTGGACAACAGTAGATACACTGTGTCCTTGCACAGATGACCCTGGAATTATGCTGGTTCCTCTTGAGCCATGCTCGCCCCCTGCTGGCCATCCTGGTAACTGCAGCCTGGTGGTTCTTGCAGGGCTCAAGAGTGGCCGGATGACCCTGGTGTTTGGGTGTCGAAACCCCGAGGAGGATCACATCTATAAGGAGGAGATGATGGAGATGGTCCAGAAGGGGGTGCTGTATGAGGTGCACACAGCTTACTCACGGCTGCCTGGAAAGCCCAAGGTAATGCAGTTGCGTTGTGCATGGAGTTTCAGCATGAGCTGTGGAGGGTGCTCCTTCACTGCTCTGTGCCTTCACCTCCTGGGCTCTACGATGGATGTAGGACACACCCTCCAGGGAGGTGGTGTGAAGAGCCCTTTGTCTTCTATTCCAGGAGAAGACGTAGGCCTCAGAGCGTTAGAACTAAGATGCACTGCGGGCTAGTCCCCAGCACCCCAAGTAGCACATGACTGCCACAGTAGAGAGGGTCCAGGGCGGCCTTTTGCTTAAGCCCAGAAAGGCCTCAGATGGGCCCTGGTAACCCCAGAAATGTGGGTCCAGGGATAGTTTGGGTTGGATCCTCATGAACTTGTGCCTGCAGGCACCTCTCCATCCCAGTGCTGAGGCCACTGAACACCTTGTTCAGAACACGAACAGAGTTCTCTATTGTCTTTGGGATGTTCTGTGTAACTGGGAACCTGTTCCCCTGCACCGAGTCACTACTGAGACCTATGGTCACCTCACTGGAAGGTGCCTTTCCTGAGGCGTATGTGGGCAGGCCCTGGTGCTCTGGGGGAGGGATCTGGTGTGATGATGCCTCTGGCCCCCCCGGCCTAGGCAGCAGTCAGTAGCCTGGCGCATCTTGAGCTGAGGTCCTCACGGGAGCTGTACACTCTGTGGCAACTGGTGGCCCCTCCTCACCTTCCCTTCACTGCCAGACCTGGCAGTGAGCCTCACTCCCAGCAGCCAATGCCTGGAGCCACCATCTCCTCTGATTTCAGGTCTATGTTCAAGACATCTTGCGGCAGCAGCTGGCTGAGGAGGTGCTCCGTGTGCTCCACAAGGAGCCAGGCCACATTTATGTCTGTGGGAACGTGCTCATGGCCCAGAACGTGGCTGATACCCTGAAGCAGCTGGTAGCTGCCAGGCTGAACTTGAACGAGGAGCAGGTTGAGAACTACTTCTTCCAGCTCAAGGTATGGTAGTGGGTATGTGAGGTAGGGGTGCATGCCAGGGCAGAGGCCACAGAGCCAGGGCCAGGGAAACAGCACCAGGAGAGTCCTAGGATGCTCCCGGACCCCTTAAGAACCCGTGGTGGCTGGATGGGGGTGAGAAGTTAGGTCACCGTGCTCCCACTGTGTAGTGGGAACAAGAAAGAAAGCCTCCTCACTCTTCCCCCACCCCAGAAAGTGTTTGTAGTCAGAGTAGAGCTAGGAGCACCAGGGACAGGAATGTGTGCTCTCTTGGCCCCAGGTGGAGTGGATCCCTGTCCATGCCCAGGTCTCTGTCTGTTCGCTCTTGGCCACCCCTCACCCAGCACAGCAAGGACACCCACTTCAGGGGTGGCATTGGTCATAGTATCTGCTGAAGGCCTGCACTGGGCCACACTTGGGCCAAGGGTGTCCCTGTGGCATTTCCTTTTGCCTGCCGTGGCCTCCAGGAGGAAGGCACATGGTCAGCCCCAGGTTTTCAGGAGGGAGGAGCCCTGGAGGCCCACAGTAGTGAGTGCGAGGGCCATGTGCTCTGTCCCACTCTGGTTCCAAGGTCTGTGCTTGTCGCTTCTGTGCTCCCCTGGGACACAGTCATATGTTCAGCATCTTTGCTGAGTGCTTGCCATGTGGTGGGCAGTAAATGGAGCGGGCCAGCCTTCCTGTCTGGCTGGAGCTTATGTTCTAGTGAGATTGACAAATAAAACAAAACGTGTAAAATGAATAATGCTTCAAGGAATTAAGTAGGGAAGCTGTTGAGGGAGAGTGAAGGGTTATTATTTTAAATAAGGCAGCCTGGGAAAATGTCACTGGAAGGTGACATCTGAGAAAATACCTGCAAGAGGTGAGGAGGAAGCCCTTTGCCTATTTTTCTGGCTGTTCTGTAGGAGCAGCATGTACAAAGGCCCCGGGGGAGGTGTTAGTCTGGCACAGTTGAAGAATGGCAAGAAGATCATAGGCATTTGCCCCCTGTGTTCAGGTGTTCATAGGTATTTGGCTTCAAAAATGTTCTAAGGTCAGTTAGCTTGGGACACGCTCCTTTAGACAAAAGCAAACACACGGCTTTACTATAAGTCGTCTCAGGGGCTTTAATGCAGTCTTATGTATCATGGCTTCATTCGGGGGGGGGGGGGGGGGGGGGGCGAGTGTGGCATGTTCAGCCCACCAGGGGGTGGGGGCTGGGGGCGGGGGGGGGGGGGGGGGTGAGCCAAGTACCGAGGGAACCTGTACTACGGAGGATATGGCAGAAGGACTATAAATTCTAGGCCAGCCTAGAAACAGGAAAGATGCTGTCTCGAAATGAAAAATAAAAAGGGCCGAGGGTGTAACTCAGTACAAGGCCCTGGGTTCAACCCGCAGCACAACAGAAAAAAAAAAAAAAAAAAAAGCTGCCCTTTGTTGCAAGGCCTTGTGGGATGTGTGCCAGGAGGAAGTGGAACGCTATCCACCCACAGAGCATGCGCTCCGAGGGGCTGCTCTAGCAACCAAATCCGGGCGTGATGTCAGCATAGCCAGTGGGCCTGCAAAGGCTCGTGAGGGCCCTGTAATTAATGGAGAAGTGCGAGCAGCCCCAAACCTGGTGGCTAAGGGGTAGCTGGACCTGCAGAGCTGACCCTTGACCTCTGCTTTTCCTCAAAGAGCCAGAAGCGCTATCATGAAGATATCTTTGGTGCTATCTTTCCCTACGAGGTGAGGAAGGACCGGGCAGAGCGGCCACCGGGTGACATCCACCTCTGATGCCCCACTGAGACTTTGAGCCTGCTGGCGCTGAGCGTGATGGGGAGGGAGTCGGCTCTGGCGCTAAGGTCACTGGGCCTCAGGAGAGGGAGGAAGATGACCACACCCAGCCTCACATCTTAGCTGAACTACTCCTCTCCAGCCCTTCACTCAGCCTAATACCAAGTAGCATCCTGGACTGGTCGGAGCCACCCTGTGCCTGAAGCTCACTTTTCCTGGTTGTTGGGGATGAATCTGCAATGCCAGGCTTGCCAAGTGGGTTAAGAGGAAGAGGAAACCTTCTTTTGATGGCAGCACTTGGAGTGGCCACCAGGGGCGCTAGCAATACACTGTATTTAGCCACCCTGTGTACAGTATTTATATCTCTGTATTTAAAAAAAAAATTTTTATCTGCTCCCAACGGCCATTTGGGCCTTCCTTGTATGATTTCTTGAAGGAAATATTTATATGGAATTCATTTTATTTTAACCATCTGGAATGTGTGTGCATGGCTGCTTTGTAGGGGAAAACCCCCAATTTGTATAGAATGGTCAGGGGTGCGCCACCACTGGGACAAAGATCCCCCCAAAGGATCATAGCAGACAGGCCATGGACTCTTCTTTGGAATGACTCTGGGGGCAGGAAATGAAGTTCTGTGCTTCTCTACTGACGGCAAGGAAGGTGTCGGGGGAGGGAAGAGGGGCAGGAGCTGCGCCTCACACTTGATGCATCTTGCGCAAGGTGTGGTGAGGGTCAGGCTGCTCCAGCACCAGCTCTTAGTGAGGGTCTTGCCCTCTACCTTGTCATACAAAGGTTTCCCTCTGCTGCCATGTTTCCTTGGCCGGTGGTGATCTGGACCTGGGAAAAGCAGGCATGGCCTCCTGTAGGACACGGGCATGGCGGGGCACTTGGCATTCCTGTCTGCCTGATACTGGGTTCTTGGGGTATGGGCTGTGTGTGAAACAGAGCCACCTCTCCTGCTCAGAACCCAGGAAGAGACTCAGAAGGGGGCAGCTGGCTGTGTGAGTGACCAGCCCCAGTCTCGGTTCAAGCCCCAACCCCGCTGGTGCCCTCCTTGCTTCCCCCTCCTTCCCCTCTTTCCACTTCTGGCAGCAACAGCTCAGACAGGAGACAGGAGAGAGCACCTGCCAACTACTGGCCACCCCCAAAAGAGCTCTGAGTCCCGACCACCAGGAGCAAGGGGTTTGAACAGTGTGACCAAGACTCCAGCCACCTAGAAAAGGGAGAGGATGGGGGGGGGGAGAGAGAGAGAGAGAGAGAGAGAGAGAGGGACAGAGACAGAGAGATAGAGACAGAGACAGAGAGACAGAGAGGGAGAGAGACAGAGAGACAGAAGGACAGAGACAGAGAGACAGAAGGACAGAGATAGAGAGATAGAGACAGACAGAGACAGCGAGACAGACAGGGAGACAGAGATTAACAGAGACAGAGACAGACAGAGAGATAGAGACAGACAGAGACAGAGAGACAGAGAGGGAGAGAGAGAGACAGAGAGACAGACAGAGACAGACACAGAAAGAGAGACAGAAGGACAGAGACAGAGAGACAGAGACAGAGACAGAGA